ATTCATTTGTATTTTTTTCAAATCTGGCCCTCCAAAAGTTTGAGGGACTGGGACCTGGCCCCCTGTTTAAAAAGTTTGAGGACCCCTGGTGTAGACTATGCAGGGAGAGAGCGGTCCACTTCCAAGCCATCTGTCTATGCAGGGGAAGCAAGGGGAGCGTGTTGAGGAGGACACGGTGAGCACCACTTCTCTCTTTTTTTCTCCTTTTCACCAGGCCTCAAATATTTAGGACGCCATCCTTCCACGAGATAAATATGTCTCCAATCCACAGCTGATTCTCATCCCAAACAGTGTCCAATCAGTAACTCCCAATCTTAAGCCAATCTTTCTTAAGCCAATCTTAAGCCAATCTTAAAAGATTTCTTAAGCCAATCTTAAGAAATGGGGCTACAAAGTGGAATCCCAGACATGCGAGTGTGGAGAAGAGCAAACTATAGACCACTTGCTGCAATGCAACCTGAGCCCTACTACATGCACAATGGAGGACCTCCTTGCGGCAACACCAGAGGCACTCCAAGTGGCCAGATACTGGTCAAAGGACATTTAATCAACTACCAAACTCACAAATTCTGTGTTTTGTCTGTTTGTTTGTTTATTTTTGTTAAAAATGTAATACAAATGCCTGGTTGCTGATGACACGATAAATAAAAGTAACTCCCAAAATTGCCTCCACTGCTAGCTAGCAAAATCCTTTGCAAACTCTCTGCTATTTAGGGAACATCAATAACTCAGGTTCCTTGACTTGAGTGCTGGACAACAACCCTGGCAACCAGAGCTTCAGTGTCCACTTGACCATAGATATATTTTCTGCGTCCTTGGGTGAGTCATGCCCACAAGCTCAGAGGAAGGCACGGACAAAGGCGCTCTGATCAAACCTGACCTTGAAGACAAGCAAGAAACCGCCATCCCATTACAGCAAGCCGGCTTCCCTTGCTGTCAGTTTGCCTCGAGTCCCAATATATTTTTATTATCTGTCAATATGTCACAGGCAAGCACCCAGTCTTTATGCAGTTGACTCAGAAATGTAAGAAAGCTTGGATATGGAAGATCAGCAAACCAAATTGTTGAACCACGACACCCCCCTCTCCAAAGACTTTTAGACCATAAAGAGACTCCAAGCAAGATATATAATAATAATAATAATAATAATAATAATAATAATAATAATAATAATAATTTTATTTCTTACACAGCTCTCCTCGTAGAGCAAGATGGATTACAGAATAATTAAAACAAACACTGTGTCATTTCTTAACAGTGTAAAATATGTAAACTGTATCAAACGGCATCTAGAAGGCAACTCCCTCTCCGTGTCCTCCGTTTGCATAATCCCTTGGGAAAGGTGTTCAAGGCCAGGGTCCCTCCAGCTATTTCCAAAGCCACATAAATATGTATATAACTATGCACATAAATATGTGCAGACTGATGAGCCTCTTTGTCACCAAGATGAGCTCAGGGTGTTTGTCCACTTAAGTTGAGGATGAGTATGCTGCTCCTGCAGAAGTGGAGGCTTAGCAAACATGAATTCATTAACTTTCTGAATGGGCAGCCAAGCCCCTGATTGTACAGAACTGCCATCTTTGTCTCTTGAGTCTTGCATCCTTTATCTCACACGGAACTCGACACTTGAGTCAATCAAAGATTCATCAGCATATCCACATCACCACTTCCTCCAGGTTCACATCATGTATTTTTCTGTAAATTTGTGCTTGTACCTTTTGAAGGATATTACTTGTACTTGCATCCTATTTGGACAAATCATAACAAAGCCTCTGTAGTTTTGCCTTCAACCTGGAGTGCTTGTCTTCAATTGGGGCTGATCTCATTTAGCGGAAGCTCACCAGGCATGGACCTTCTTATCCATGGTCTTAGCTGTGGAGTTTATATGGAGTTTCAAGGAAGGAAAAGTAGATGAAGGAGGCAAACAAATGGCTTACTTCAAGGTTCTTGCACCAACCTTATTATCATCTTTTTTCTAACAATCAGCCACAGCCACCACTCACAAACAGCTTTATATATGCTGATGATCTTGGCCTTGGTCCACGGCTTGGACCTAGAGAGCAAAGTGCTTCCCCAATGTGTAACTCCAGATCAACAACTATCTGAGGAAATAGGCTTCTCTGTGTCTGCTGTCAGTTTGCAGACAGGTCAGCGAAAGATGGAAGCCAGGCTCCAATATTGCACAAGCCACATTTCATGGTGGCATGTTGTGTAGATAGTTTTGCAGAACCTTTAAATATCAAAAAAATGAAACTTTAAGATAAATGGCAAAGGCTTAGAGAAGAGGGAGAGCTAGCCTGATAGAACCATACTTAAATTCCTGGAGAAGATGGAGCCGGCTTGTTGTCTTCTGCTCCAGAGACTAGAAAACGAACCAAGGGATCCAAATTACAAGGAAAAGAGATTCCAAGGAGAACATCTGGGCTGGAAGAACTGTTCCACAGTGGAGGGCAATGGGGTCTCCATCACTGACAGTCTTCAAGCAGACATCTTAACAGCACTTGAATCGTCTTTCTGCATGGCAGGGAGTTACCATTTCCATGTAAAAAATGAAAGAAACTTTTTACTGGTGCAGAATAAATTCTGAGCCGTCAGTAATCCTTGAAAATGCCGCACAGGAGGGTTGAAAAAGAAAAAAAAAGATTCACTGTTGTAAGCGAGAACAAATCTAGGAAGATTTGTGCGTCCCATGGCAGCGCAAAAGTCTCTCCCTCCTTACTTTTCTCTTGTTCATTTCCAGGGGAAATGAAACAGAGCCGGAGAACGGCAGGAGGAATTATATCCCGTAATTTAAAAGGTGGGGAAAGGAAGAAGAGAAAGCAACGGCCAAGGGATTTACCCTGTTCCCTTGGTTTCAGCCTCTTCAAAAAGAACAGATGCTGATTGATTTTGTTTATGCATATACAAACATCCTTATTTTCCATCCATTTTGTCAGACTTTGGTATTAAAACCAATGAATATATTCTCCCAGGTTGTCACCATACTGTGGCTGCCCAACTGGAAAACTGGAAGCCTGGCCGGCAATGATATTTTGCTTTCATTCTGCACCAAGCTAAGCACCGGGACTTTGCTCATGCTTTTTGGACTACACATTTGTCACTTCCGATTGATTCTGAATGTGACTGCAGCTCTCCAAGGTGCTGAATTCTCTTCCTTAAATAGGTTTTGATTCCATTTCAGCCAGACTAAAATCCAAACATTGTGACTATAGTTTCCACAGACTTTTCATAGAATCATAGAATCAAAGAGTTGGAAGAGACCTCAGGGGCCATCCAGTCCAACCCCCTGCCAAGTAGCAGGAATATTGCATTCAAATCACCCCTGACAGATGGCCATCCAGCCTCTGTTTAAAAGCTTCCAACGAAGGAGCCTCCATCACACTCCGGGGCAGAGAGTTCCACTGCTGAACGGCTCTCACAGTCAGGAAGTTCTTCCTCATGTTCAGATGGAATCTCCTCTCTTGTAGTTTGAAGCCATTGTTCCACGTCCTAGTCTCCAAGGAAGCAGAAAACAAGCTTGCTCCCTCCTCCCTGTGGCTTCCTCTCACATATTTATACATGGCTATCATATCTCCTCTCAGCCTTCTCTTCTTCAGGCTAAACATGCCCAGCTCCTTAAGCCGCTCCTCATAGGGCTTGTTCTCCAGACCCTTGATCATTTTAGTCGCCCTCCTCTGGACACATTCCAGCTTGTCAATATCTCTCTTGAATTGTGGTGCCCAGAATTGGACACAATATTCCAGGTGTGGTCTAACCAAGGCGGAATAGAGCATGGGGAGCATGACTTCCCTAGATCTAGACACTATGCTGCTACTGATGCAGGCCAAAATCCCATTGGCTTTTTTTACCGCCACATCACATTGTTGGCTCAAGTTTAACTTGTTGTCCACGAGGACTCCAAGATCTTTTTCACACATACGCAACTGAAAATCTCACCCCTGGGATAAAGATACATTGTGGATGGGACCTCAGATGCACATCCCACCACAATCCCTGTTTAAAATACATAACGTACAAACAGGGGCGGCTCATCCATTACGCGAAGTAAGCGGTCGCAGAACACTTTTTTTTGCCAGGGGCGCAGAGGCGCCTCTGTAAATGCTCCTCGACCGCCACTTGAGGAGCGCCCCCTCAGCTCACAACAGCCCTAGCAGTCCGGGGGAGCCTCAGCTTTCTTGCCTCGCTGCCGGGCGATCCTCTTCCCAAAGGGGCCGGGCCCTTGAGCCTCGCCTAGCCCCTCTCGTTCCTGCTCCACCGGCCACTGGGTGCGCAAGCAGAGCCGGCACTCAATCGTTCTCCGCGTCGATCCCTTCCCCATGACCGGCTCCCTTTCCCGATCCCCCGGAGCTCCACCCGCCTCCTCTCCTCTCCCCAATCCGCGGGTGGGCCAAGGGGCGGAGCCGCTGCCCCTGGCCTGCTTCGGGTCCGGAGGCGTGTCTGAAGACCCCAGTGTGCGCACCAAAAGTCTCCTCTTCTCCTGACTTTCTCTTCAGCCATTGGGACCAAGAGAGAGAGAGAGAGAGAGCCCCTCCGGCTGGAGGTATCTCCCACCTCCGCTCCCTCCTTTGTTTTTGCGCCTACTTCAGGAAAGGTGGGCATCTCCACCTCTCTCTCTCTCTCTCTCTCTTGGTCCCAATGGCTGAGGAGAAAGTCAGGAGAAGAGGTGACTTTTGGTGCACACGCCGGGGTCTTCAGGCACGCCTCCGGACCCAAAGCGGGCCAGGCAAGGGAGCAAGTGCGGCAAGTGTAGTTACTGGGATGTATAGTTCACCCACAATCAAAGAGCATTCTGAACTCCACCAATGATGGAATTGAACCAAATATGGCACACAGAACTCCCACGATGAACAGAAAATATATATCAATGATTGGTTGGGGGGGGGGGCAAAATACTGTTTGCTTACCGTTGAAAATTACCCATGGCCGCCTCTGCGTACAAATATGAAGATAGAATTAAACATACAAGTCAATGAAATTCACTCTATTTTGTTTGCTTTCAGCACGCTCTCCCTCCGAGCGCCTATGCCACGGTCAAGGCCTATGGAAACTTTGATGCCGAACGAGACGCGGCGGCCCTCGAAACCGCCATCAAGGTCAAAGGTAGGCCCCTCTTAATAGAATTCTAAGAGTTTGAAGGCAACCCCAAAGGCCATCCAGTCCAACCCCTTCATCCCTCCATGTAGGAAGATACAACAAAGTCCTCCCGACAGATGGCCGTCCAGCCTTCCATCTGGTTCATCCCCTTCTTGGATTGCTAGGCATCATATTATTCCAAAGCAGAACAGAGTGGGACTAGGACTTTCCTCCATTAGATGTGCCTGATTGCTTACTCTCTTAAAAAACTCTAAAATTACAACAGAGTAAACAATCAGGCACATCTAATCACCTCTCAACAAAAGATTCCCCCAGGCACTGCCAAGCCATCAAATGCTAATTAAGGTGGTCAGTTGAAACATTCACACCTAGCTCCAGCAGACAAGAGTCCTTTGTCCCACCCTGGTCATTCCACGGATATATAAACCCATTTTCCTACTTCCAACAGACCTCACAACTTCTGAGGATGCTTGCCATAGATGCAGGCGAAATGTCAGGAGACAATGCCTCTAGAACATGGCCATATAGCACGAAAAAACCTACAACAACCCATTTCCCTTTATTGTTGTTGTTGTTAGGTGTATAGTAAGAGTTGGGACTAAGTCCCATAGGAATCTTTCAAACCCGTTGTTGTTATTGTTGTTAGATGTATGTTAGGTCTTGGGACTATAGGTATTCTCCAACACCCTGTTGTTGTGGTGATTGTGGTGGTGATTATTATTATTATTGCAGGACTATAGGAATCCTCCAACTCCCTGTTGTTGTTGTTGTTGTTGTTGTTGTTGTTGTTGTTGTTATTGTTTATAGCAGGTCTTGGGACTATAGGAATCCTCCACCCCCTTGTTGTTGTTGTTGTTGTTGTTGTTATAGCAGGTCTTGGGAATATAGGAATCCTCCACCCCCTTGTTGTTGTTGTTGTTGTTATAGCAGGTCTTGGGACTATAGGAATCCTCCAACCCCTTGTTGTTGTTGTTGTTGTGATAGCAGGTCTTGGGAATATAGGAATCCTCCAACCCCTTGTTGTTGTTATAGCAGGTCTTGGGACTATAGGAATCCTCCAACCCCTTGTTGTTGTTGTTGTTGTGATAGCAGGTCTTGGGAATATAGGAATCCTCCAACCCCTTGTTGTTGTTATAGCAGGTCTTGGGACTATAGGAATCCTCCACCCCCTTGTTGTTGTTGTTGTTGTTGTTGTTGTTGTTGTTGTTATAGCAGGTCTTGGGGCTATAGGAATCCTCCACCCCCTTGTTGTTGTTGTTGTGATAGCAGGTCTTGGGAATATAGGAATCCTCCAACCCCTTGTTGTTGTTATAGCAGGTCTTGGGACTATAGGAATCCTCCACCCCCTTGTGTTGTTGTTGTTGTTGTGATAGCAGGTCTTGGGAATATAGGCATCCTCCACCCCCTTGTTGTTGTTGTTATAGCAGGTCTTGGGACTATAGGAATCCTCCACCCCCTTGTTGTTGTTGTTGTTGTTGTTGTTATAGCAGGTCTTGGGAATATAGGAATCCTCCACCCCCTTGTTGTTGTTGTTGTTGTTATAGCAGGTCTTGGGACTATAGGAATCCTCCAACCCCTTGTTGTTGTTGTTGTTGTGATAGCAGGTCTTGGGAATATAGGAATCCTCCAACCCCTTGTTGTTGTTATAGCAGGTCTTGGGACTATAGGAATCCTCCACCCCCTTGTTGTTGTTGTTGTTGTTATAGCAGGTCTTGGGAATATAGGCATCCTCCACCCCCTTGTTGTTGTTGTTATAGCAGGTCTTGGGACTATAGGAATCCTCCACCCCCTTGTTGTTGTTGTTGTTGTTATAGCAGGTCTTGGGAATATAGGCATCCTCCACCCCCTTGTTGTTGTTGTTATAGCAGGTCTTGGGACTATAGGAATCCTCCAACCCCTTGTTGTTGTTGTTGTTGTTGTTGTTGTTATACCCAATGTAATTTTATTGATATCTATTTTCATTTTGAAATGTACGATTTCCCACCCTTGGCTTATACTTGAGTCAATACATTTTTCCAGTTTTGGGGGGTAAAATTAGGTGCCTCAGCTTAAATTTGGGTCGGCTTATGCTCATGTATATACGGTATATCTCCCATCCAAAAGAGCTGATGATGGCAACACATTGCATCTTGCAATAGCCAAAGCTGATTCTGGGGTGAATCGAAATAAACAGAGATAAATACGGAATCAATGATGTGGTAGGGGAACAAGCTGCCTTTGATGCATTGTTATTAATATCAGCTTTTCTCTCCGTTGGGACTTGTTGCAACCCAGATCAGGAAACAAGACCATGAGATATTAATCCACCACACTTGACTGTAGGAAAAAACAATCCCTCTTTATTGATAAAAAATGGTTACAAAATGGAGGAAAATACAAAGTCCAAAAAGCCACAGTAAAATTCAGCAGTCAGGAATATCTCTGAACTAGATCAAAATTCCAAAAGCAACACTATAAAAACCTGGAACCTGTTAGCATCTCACTAACCGTACTTGGAAACTAGAAGCCTCTGGGAATGCAGGCCATGGGAAACGGGAAATCTGCCAAGGTAATGCCTCAGTCTAAACGATGCTTGATCAAGGGTCTGGAGAACAAGCCCTATGAGGAGCGGCTTAAGGAGCTGGGCATGTTTAGCCTGAAGAAGAGAAGGCTGAGAGGAGACAGGATAGCCATGTATAAATATGTGAGAGGAAGCCACAGGGAGGAGGGAGCAAGCTTGTTTTCTGCTTCCCTGGAGACTAGGACGCAATGGAACAATGGCTTCAAACTACAAGAAAAGAGATTCCATCTGAACATGAGGAAGAACTTCCTGACTGTGAGAGCCGTTCAGCAGTGGAACTCTCTGCCACGGAGTGTGGTGGAGGCTCCTTCTTTGGAAGCTTTTAAACAGAGGCTGGATGGCCATCTGTCAGGGGTGATTTGAATGCAATATTCCTGCTTCTTGGCAGAATGGGGTTGGACTGGATGGCCCATGAGGTCTCTTCCAACTCTTTGATTCTATGATTCTATGGTGCTTGATCTAACGAGAGAGCCTGGGGAGAGACACTTAAAGCTAAAGAAACTGTTTCGGGACATGCCTCCAGGCTTTGAAGCCTGTGCCTCCTTTCCTTTAATCTGTTTGACCTTCGCAGACTCTGCTATTCACTCCTGATTTTCCAAATCTGTCCTTTTCTATCCTCATTAAAAAAGGCAAGTGCTAGCTCCTCTGGAGAGCTATCACCGCTTGATTCAGAAACATTCCCATCAGGATGCGTAGTTTCACTTTCCAAGCCACTGCCCTCAGAATCAACAGTTTCCAAACCATCAGGGACAAAATCATGTTCAGTAGCCTGTTCAGTTGCATCAGGAAATACAATCAGAGAATCAGGTTCACACGCAGGCTGAACCCCAACAGGACTCGTTGTAATAATAATAATAATAATAATAATAATAATAATAATAATAATAATAATATAATAGTCTATTTATATTCTTCCTTTCTCCCCGTGGGGACTCAAGGCAGCCAACAATCCCACATTTTAGTCAAGTTTTTAAAAGCACAATGCAAAAACAATTAAATAATACAATGAGGTTAAAAACAGATTAAAATATAATATTTATAAAATATAATACACTTTTAAAATAGCCTTTAAGCCTTCTCTGGCCAAGAGTGCAAACTACTATAGAGTAAACCCACACAATGTTCTCTCCCAAGGCAAGTGGTTTCTTCCGATCCCTGAAAATACTGCAGAGTCTTGGTTACAGTTTGCAGAAATTTTTATTTATTTATTATTTACTATATTTGTATAGTCAGTAGGCCTGTTTGATCAAGAAAAAATTTGTTTCTAAAATCGATTTGTAATTGGGGTGTTTTTTTGTTTCGATATTTAAAATAATTACAAAACTTTACAAAAAAAAGTTTTGGTATTTAAGAAATTTTGTAAATATTAACGAATTTTTAGAATATTTTTGGTATTTCTTAAGAATAATATTAAAATAATATTAAAAAATATTTTAAAATGGAAAATTAACCAAAAAATGGCCCAAATGTGGACCAAACACAGGCAGGATACAGCAAATGAGAGCACACACCAACAGAAGAGTCTTTTCTTTTTTAGAATATTTTTAAGAATAATATTAAAATAATATTAAAAATAATATTAAAATAATATTAAAAATATTTTAAAATGGAAAATTAACCAAAAATGACCAAACACAGGCAGGATACAGCAAATGAGAGCACACACCAACAGAAGAGTCTTTTCTTTTTTAGAATATTTTTTAAGAATAATATTAAAATAATATTAAAAAATAATATTAAAATAATATTAAAAAATATTTAAAATGGAAAATTAACCAAAAAATGACCAAACACAGGCAGGATACAGCAAATGAGAGCACACACCAACAGAAGAGTCTTTTCTTTTTTAGAATATTTTTTAAGAATAATATTAAAAAATAATATTAAAAAATAATATTAAAAATAATATTAAAAATAATATTAAAAAATAATATTAAAATGGACAATTAACCAAAAAATGGCCCAAATGTGGACCAAACACAGGCAAGAGACAGCAAATGAAGCAAGCAGCACTCACAGCAGCAAGAATGAATCCAATCCCAGTTCGTTGCTAGCAGGCAGCCATTGCCAAGCCAACCCAATGCAAACTCCCTCGCCCTCGCCTCTGCACCAAGCTACGGGCCGCGCGGAGCCGCTTTGAAAGGGCTCGCCGGCCAATCAAAAAGGGACAGCCACGGACCCATGGTGCACTGCTTGGGAGCGCCGGATTGGCTCCCATGCACCAGCACTCCAGCAGCCTCCACCCCATTAACGAAACGAGCGGAGGCTCGTAAATACTATGGGGGCTGCTGGTTCGATATTTATAAACCCTTCCGGGTTTGGAGATTTGTTTCAATATCGCTTCGGAAATGGTAAAATTAACGAATTATTAACGAATTAACGAATTAACGAAACGAATCGCACAGGCCTAATAGTCAGCCCTCGGGCGACTCAGAGCAGTTAACAA